GAAATAGCTCAGCTGGGAGAGTGTTAGACTGAAGATCTAAAGGTCCCTGGTTCAATCCCGGGTTTCGGCAGCTATATGTATCTCTGTCAGTGTTCAAGGCCAGGGTGGACACCCCTTTTTAGGGGTGGTGAAGCTGCTGTGCTTGGAGCTGGAGTAGCTGCGCTGACTGTCCCTTTGCCTTCAGATCCACCGACATTCTTTTCCTTTTGAAGGTGCTGGATAGTGTTGAACAAGGCCCTGTAAACATGGGCCAAGCCCCAGCACGTTGCCGTGATTTGTCCATCTCTGGTATGGCCAGAATGACCACACACCTCATTTAAGTGTTTTACTAATTCTTCTGGATTCTGCAGTTGTTCGGTAGTGAAATTCCAAAGTACTGGAGGGGCCCACTGACCTAGATTCTTGCCCATACTATCCCACACACCCTGCCACTCATGGCTGTCCAGCCTCAGGGAAAATCTCTTGGTCCTCCTACATCGTCGTTTGACCCCAGACAAGACCCAAACCTGACTCTGCTTAACTCCTGAAATCAGTAGTGGGCAAAACACACTCTGTATGCGTGTTAGCATGGTGATTCCCATCACCATCAGCAAACAAGTCTCAACAGCATTAAAAGGCCATTCAAAAACTTCAAAACTCTCAAATGTAAATGGTCTGGGGGGAGGACTGGGAGGGTAAAAGGATGTCTCCTTCACAGGTTGAGCACCTGAGAAGGAGAAAAAAGATGTGTAATTGCTAAGCACCTCCATCATATACCTCCCAAAGTATAAAGGTGGTGACCACACTGGGAACATAAACCAGATCAGTTTCATGATCAATGATTCTATTGTATTGCAAGTCATTACCATAAAGTACAATGGGATAAAAACCTTAGCCCAAGCCCCACACTTGAAAAACACTAATACAGCCAATACCGGATGGACGTAAGATATGATATACTGAAACGGTGAGATCAAGAGGAAAAACCTTGAGAGCCAATAAATCAGCATTGTGACGAGTGACTATCAATCCAGTCAGATCTGTTCTTATCTCAACCCCTCGTGCCCCACGTTGGGCGCCAAAAGAACTGTCGTGGTTTAAACCCTAGCCAGACAGCTTGTTCACTCACTCCCAGTGAGTGGTGCTGGGCTGAGAGCAATTCAGCCCCCCCCCAGGACTCTCCCCTTCCCCGCTCCCGGAGGAACGGGGAGGAGGATCGAAAGAGTGCAACTCCTACGGGTTGAGACAAGAACAGTCCAGCAACCAATGTACAACACAAATCACCACCGCTACTATCAACTACAACAATGATAAGAGAAAGTAACAAGGGAAGAGAATACGATACCACCGGCCAAGAAACAAGTCCCACCCGGAAGCCCGTGTACTTCCGGGTAACTCCCAGTTACCCCCCACCCCGGGCATGACGTGCTGTGGTATGGAATACCTCCCTGGCTAGCCCGGGTCAGGTGTCCTGTCTCTGCTTCCTCACAGCCTCCCCTCTTCCCTGGCAGAGCATGAGCCTCACAAAGTCCTTGGTCAGGGTAAACATCACTTAGCAACAACAGAAAACATCGGCTTCACCAGCACTGTTCCCAGGCTGGAAGTCAAAACACAGCACTGCACCAGCTACCACGAAGGAGAAACATGACTGCTACTGCTGAACCCAGGACACCGGCTCATGTTCATTTTCTCACTGACCAACATCCCCAAGTCCTTCTCCGCAGGGCTGCTCTGAATCTCTTCTTTGTCCAACCTGTAGCTGTGCCTGGGTTTGCTCCAACCCAGGTGTAGGACCTTGCCCTTGGCTTGGTCTTAAATGATTCCATAAATCTTAAGGAAGGAATGCTTGGAGTGAAAAGAGAGTTATCTGTGGCAACTGCAAGAAGTGAAGGAGTGCGCATGGCACCTCCTGAAGTTCTGCAAAGTTCTTACCTGCAAAAGTGGAGGTGCACCAGCGAGCCTGCCACTTCTTGAGTCCCTTGCTGTGTCCTGCTGGGTACATTCTCATGGCTGACCACAAACAGCTCACCAGGCTTCTCTTCCGGCTCAGGGGTCCCAGGAGTCATACTTAGGGATGGCTTCTCCTGTTCTCAGCATGCTGATGTGCTGGCCTTTCACTTGGTGAGGAAGCCCTTGCAGGGACTCCCAGCTATCTGCAATGCATGGAAACTTCATTGGGATCTTCAGTGTTTTGTAATATGCCAGAAAAATCCAAAATCATTAGGGGTGAGATGACAGAATGAGGCAAAATGCTGCCTGTAGGTGGCTTGGCCCCTAATTTAACTACCAACACCTCACTTAAATGACATGAACATAGAACAATGAGTTACTGGATACAGGAATGATGAGGCATTGTGATGGGTGAGCTGGGTAACATTTGGGTGGGTATTTGTGTCACTTAAATATATTTTTTTATATACATGAAATAAGTACATGTCTGTTACTGCCGGAATGCTTTGCTGCTATACTTTATACATACAGCTAACTATGCATACTCACCTTCTAAAGAGGTCCAAATCCAATATAGCACATTGTATACGAATATATAGAATAAATTAAAATATATGGAATAAATTAAAAAAATAAAGCCCACACAGTTGTCTCTTTATAGATAGAAAAGTTAACATATGGGAGAGAAAAGACATAATGTTTACACACATAAATTACTGAAATCTATACATTTAAAGTTGCCAGAAGCAGATAAAGTAAAATTCCCCCTAATCACAATCCTCATTCTTTTTTATTAATGTACTTTTGACTTGATATTTTATGAAAACACTTCTTGTTATGTTTGGAAATGTAAATCCTCTCCTGCTTCTACACGTCCTTCGACTACTGCAATGAGTCAAATACTAATTTGTAGCTAAAGCTCCTTTAGTTACTGGAAAAATAGATCATTAATGACGCCATGGAAAAGTCTATTTTTCTATTACTTCTCTAGGTATGTGAATGTCCACAATACTTGCAAAAGAGTGACTGTGCTGCAAACGGTAACAGAATTATGCCTATTTTGTGTAGCTTGTGCTCTGCCCTTAGAAGTTAGGACCAAAGGAAGAGAGGACCGGGTAATTTGGAAAGGGCAAACAGAGTAAGAACTCTGTGAAGTCACTAAGATGGGATATACAGGATATTCAGCATGCCACCGGATACAGGGAACAAGCAGTCTGTTGCACACACCATATCCAGTGGGTCTTAGCTCCCACATTGCACCCACTCACTGCACGCTCTGTGCCAAAGGGGACAATGCTATTTCAGATGAAGCTATCTGAAAAGTTTGATGGGAAGCAGTTTTTCATCAAATGAAATCAAAATAAAATACATAATTCAGTAAAGCAGTGAAAAAGCAAAGTGTGTTTTATTGTAGTTTTAGAAAATGAAAATTTCTATATTTAAAATAGAAAAAGTCATAGTTTCCAGATGTTAAAACATGTAAAACTGAAGGATGACAATAGAATTGCTGGGGAAAACATATTTTCATTTGTCTTTTTAGAAAACAGACATCATATAATCACAAAATTGCTTTTAGAACTAGTGATTAGAAAGGAGGGACCATCATTAAATATATGGGACTGGATCACCACAGTCTAACACCAAATACACCAAAAGATATAGGAAGCAAGGTATGAAATTGTGATAATTACAGTATTAAAGTTATGAGAAACACACATGAAATGTGATTGCAAAGGCAGAATAAAGAGTGGGGTAACAGATGTAATGCTGTCTCTCAGATGACTGGACAATGGCAAGATATACAATATACATGATGAAAATATAAGCTGGTGTTTTCAACACAGGAGTAAGGATTCATATTTCATGTGAGCCAAGTGCTGCACGTTTCTTTCAGCAGAGAAGGTTGTTTTTAGAAGTATGAAAAAGATGAAAGATAAGATTTTTATCTTCAAACAAATTGATTCTATTGAAGACACAGGGTTGCATGCGTGCAGCTGCTAGCACAATACATCCTAATCTGTTTAGAAGATGTTCCAGAGTGAATAAAAGTCAAGATCATTCAAAAAGAGTGAGAAAAGGGGCCAATGATGAAGCATGTCCTTGTTTTTCAGGTGGGCTGAGTCCAGAGAGCTCCCATATACCCTAGGAGAAGCATCTTAAATAGGCACACGTTGAGATTTATTAGTTATAGAATCACAGAATCCCAGACTGGTTTGTGTTGGAAAGGACCTTAAAGCTCATCCAGCTCCAATCCCTGCACGGGCAGGGACACCTTCCACTAGAGCAGCTTGCTCCAAGCCCCTGTGTCCAACCTGGCCTTGAACACTGCCAGGGATGGGGCAGCCACAGCTTCTCTGGGCACCCTGTGCCAGCGCCTCAGCACCCTCAAAGGGAAGAATTTCTTACTAATATCTATATAGATAGACTTGTATATTACTTATATTTTTATGTATATTGATAAAAAATAACATCTAAATTTTCTATAATACACTTTTTATAGAAAGTATGTCATATATACATAACATATATATATAATATATAGACAAGTGAGGCTGAGATGAGTGCTAGAGAGGGATCCCACATTTGTTAAAGCTAAAAAGAAAAGAATGTAATACAATGAAAGGGAATACAGCACAACATACATGGAATGAAGCTCATCTGCCACAGACCCACATCTTCATGTGCACCCAGGGTCAAAGCACAGGCGGATGAACCCTGCCAGCCACAGGCAGGGCTCATCCTAGGCTCTGTGTGCCCACCCCATCTGCACAGCACCTCCTGGGGTGGGGGGGGGAACACTGTGAAGACAGGCTGGGAGGCAAAGGCTGGCTGCCAAGTTTACTGTTCTCTGAATAAGTGCTCTGAGATCAGCTCCGTGCGGGAAGGCTGCAGAAACCGTTGGGGGATTCAGCTGGAACTCTCTCGTAACTCTTACTTTGGAAAGAAAGCAGCCACAGCGACACAAAAGGCATGAGAGGGCAAGCAGGAAGCTAGCCGTGCTGGTGATCCCACCTGCCAAAAGCCGGCGCAGCGCAGCGCTGGTCCGTCCGCCTGGCTGGGGAGCCCGACGATCACATGCATCCCCGTCCTGCCTCCTCCCTCCGCAGCCCCGTCCCGCTGCGCTCCTCGCAACTCCTGCTAAACTATCCCAAAGCGGAGGCGCTTTTCACAGGCAGGATCCTGTAGCCCTCTGCGTCCCCTTCGGAGGGGGTTTGGTGCCGAGGCTGTTTTCTCCCTTTCCATATAAAGTTCTGGGGCTTGCAGAGATTGCTGCACAAGCAAAGGGTAATGATTGCCCTTAGCAAGAAAGGCTCATGCTCTTCTCAACTCTGCCTCGCTCTCTGCGCCTTTGGGGTGGCATTGCTGAGGGACGTGTCCCAGGCGGTACCCATGGACGATCAGGATTATTACCTGCAGGAGATTAGCAACAGGGATCACTATTATTCCTTTCCATATCCCGGTGAAGAGTTTTTCCCTTTCACGGAGCAGCCCGGAGAGGAAGAACCTATCCGTGCTGCAGATACAGAGGAGCACCCCCAGTTCAAACCCAGCAGGAAAGAGTTAAAAGCGAAGAAAAGCAACAAAAAAGGAAAAGCCATTCTTGAAACTCCACCAGGTAACTTTCCACCTCCTCCTCCAGAGCTTGGAGTCTGCTAATCTCATGCTGACTGTGACTTTTAGCATTAATGAATATCCAGTTAATAGCAGTCTTGGTAATAATAACAGTAACCATGGTCGTGGCAATGATGATGACAACACATTATCCCACAGAACAGAACTTTTATAGGCTTTTTAACCCTTTCTTCATCAAGTAAAGACATTTTAGAGTGGTGATTATTACTTATGCTGCGCTCTAGCTAGTATATGGATTTTAACTTCTTACTTACACTTGACAACTGGGTTGCTGTTAAAGCTGTTGTTCTATAAGCGAAGGAGGAGATGGATCCTGTAAAAGCTGATTGTATATGGTGCCACCTTACTTTGTTCTTTGGCTTTCTTTTTTTAATTTATGAGAGGTTCCTGAATTACTTTACTTGTAAACCTGTGAATTGCTTTCAGATTTCACTTTAAAGGCCTCCAGAGGGAGATCTGTAAACAAAGATCTTCCTGTAAAAGGCTAAGTCATAACAAGTTCAATTTAATTACTGACCTGCAAAAATAAAGAAATTAAACAGCAACAAAAATGACTTACACTAAAAAAGTCTACCGTTAATCCCATTCTCTATTTTCTCTGTTTGATGGGATGAAAATATGCAGCTATTAAAGTCTGCAGAAACTTGATCAGCTTTTACCATTCAGTTGTTCCTGGAAGAAGAGTAATTTCTTTCTGTGCTTCCCACACATATGGTTGGTGCTTTAACGGTTTGGGATACCAGTAGGTTTAGGAGTGAGTTTCACCCATGACCTTTTGACTTATAAATCCCTATAGCTACACTCTGCTTTACTTCAGAAGGAAACTTATAATGTCAACAGCTGGAGCATAAGGAGCAAAGTTTGCAATGCAGAGCCATTAATACATGGAGTACAGGAAAACAGCGGATCCAGGGTTGTAGAGTGGCTTTAGCTTTTGCCAGTTACATCTGGGAGATAGTAAACAAAATACTTTCCATTTAATATTAACGCTAACAAATTCATTACCTTTTGATAAGCAAATAGATGAGCTCTTGTAATAATAAATACTGATAAGAAAATACCATTTCTGAAGTATGGAAAACTGTGGGGCAGGCAGTTTGAATTGCCACTGAAAATACTGCCTGGACCATGACAAGGACTAGTTTATTGGCTTTATTATCTAACTATGTGCAACACATGGATTTTAAAGCTACCTACTTAGGTACCAGGCTTACTCTTCTTCAGTGTGGTGCAGACAATACAGATTTCCAGCCTGCAATGGGATGTTCTCCAGTTCAGCTCTGCTTTCACCTTCCCTGTTGGCATTTCCCTGATTTCCTCAACCCCATGGCTTCACATACTCCACCAAACATGACACCATTAAGGACAGCAACCAGTCTGCAAGAGCAGGGTTCATTTCTCTTTACAGATGGGCATCTTCCTTGTTCTCCACCCATGGCAATGAGCACCTTACAAGTGCAAAGAAGGCAGCAGCAGTACCAACAACCACCTCCATCATTGTGGAACACTCATCCCTTCCAAGCCTGATTTAGTTTATGCACTGCAGGTACAGCAGTACAAAATTCAAACTGTGTAACACTGATGACCTACTAGGGGAGCATACTGAGGTCTTGCATGTAGTCTGAATTTGGCCATGGTATCACATTTTTGTATATAGGAAAATACGGAATTAGAAAAAGAAAAATAGACCTCCTTAAGCCTTCTCTAGAAAACACTTCATTTTGTGCCAACCAATTGACATGTGAAGAATTCTTCTAATTTACTCGTTTTTACCTTTCACCCTACCTGGCTCTCTGAGTCCAGGGAATCATTTTATTTCTGCATTCCATCAGGTAAGGTCCTTCCTCAGCCTCCTCCTGTTCCACAGCATGGCCAAGCAGAAAGTCAAGGGGATCCTGGCAAGGGCTTGTGATGCACCACCAAAAGCACCTGGAAAGAGCTCAGTCCCTCCTGGCTGATGCTCTTTTGAACCAACTGAGCTACCAAGCTTTCACCAGCCATATGTAATAAGAGGTTTTAAAGCCTATGAGCTTATGAGCGCTGGAACAGGTTGCCCAAATAAGTGATAAATGCTCCATCCCTGGCATTGTTCAAGGCCAGGTTGGACAGAGTTTTGGGTTACATGGTCTGCTGTGAGGTGTCCCTGCCCATGGCAGCGGGTTGGAACTGGATGATCTTAAGGTCCTTTCCAACCCAGACTAGTCTGGGATTCTATGATTCTAATAAAAACAACAGCCAGAGGTATAACAAGCCACTAATTCCCTCCACCAAACTCACTTCTTGCTCCAGCACAGGAGGGCTTGACACCAGCTCAGCAATCTGCCTGTTAGACTTACTTCAATATGGGAAAATGCTGTATTTCGTTGGGAGCAGCTGAACTATTTTAACTGCAATAGCCATAATAAGCCCTCAGGCAAACACACAGCAAGAGGATGGTTACCATTTGTTAAAGATATAAGTGAAAACAGGAGGTTTTTAGCAGGAAGTGTCTGGCATTTTTAAATGCAGCGTTAAAAGGTCTAGCTATAATACTTGAAATGTTTCCTTTTAACTCTCCCAAATGCAGGTGAGGGTCAGGTCCTGCCAGAGCAGTGACCCCAATGCTTAATGCCATGTCACTGTGTCACCAGGAATTGGTTTGAAATGAAGATCTGATAATCCCAGGTGTCTAAATAATGATACATGACTATAATTTCTCACATCTGACCTGTTAAGAGGACAGCTAAAAGTAATAATAGCAGCTATCAAACAGATATCCATGACTAGTAACTCTAAATCTGGCTGTGTAAATATGGGTGTTGTGTGTATGTGTATACTTTAATGTGTTAATAAATATATCCAGAACTGGAATTAATGTATTAGACACGCAATAAATACAAAAATGTGGGGTTTGTGAGCTTCCCTGGCAGCCAGGGCATGAGGGATTAATTAGTTACAACAAACAATAGTCTGGCTGGGAGCTGGGATGAAGAAAGAGGAGAAACAAGAAATGTGTGATCTGCCCTTTGGCTGAGCAGCTGGTACTGATCAGCCCTAGCTTTGAATCAAAGTTGGAATCGAACATAGCAGTCTGAAGGACACGGCACAGAACAGATGACACCGACTCCATTTATTTAACCTTATTACTGAAGGTAGAGAGAACATATATATTTTATCTGTGAAAGATCAATGTAGAGAGAAGTCCTATTGATGATAGTGGGGTTGCAATGTGGGGGGGGGGTTCAAATAATTATTAGGATCAATATTTGCAAATACTTGATCCAGGTAACAGTTCAAAATATCAATCAGTTTCTTTGCCCTTTAAACAGCTTATAAATGAAGTGGTATCAGGTCATCCTTGGGTTGGATTGACAGGTTTCTGTATATACATATTTCCATTTTCTAATTCCATCCTTGTTTATGTAGGCTTCTATCCAAAGCCTATTCAAATCACTGGAAAGAGTCTTGTTAACATCAATATTTTTCTTTTATGAGGCCTTTTAATAGATTTAATATATGCCTTCTTGGTTATGAGCTGTGGGGCAGACCCATATAAATGGTTTGAGAGGTCTGCCTGCATACAGGCAAAAATCTGTCACTAGGAGGTTTATGGGGTTGAGATCCCTATGAACACTGCTCAGTGCTGCACGTTGCTGTGGGTTGTGACTGAAAGGTTCCCCCTTTTAATTTCTGTTGCACCTAAATCTACCACAGTTATATCTATAATTATTTTTATTTGATTTATAAAACTAATACTTTTTAGAGTAGTTCTTGTTCTGGCCATGCCTCCATTCTTAATGCCCTCAAAAAATAAAGGAGTAATGTTTATTTATATGGCAGCATGGGGTTTACTGCACATTTATTTTGTATTTCACAAATCTCACAGTATTTTATTTCTGTGTAATCTCTGCATAATGTGTGTTTGTATGTAGTTATCATGATTTCGTAGAATCAGAGAATCCCAGAGTGGTTTGTGTTGGAAGGGACCTTAAAGCTCACCCAGCTCCAACCCCTGCCACGGGCAGGGACACCTTCCACTAGAGCAGCTTGCTCCAAGCCCCTGTGTCCAACCTGGCCTTGAACACTGCCAGGGATGGGGCAGCCACAGCTTCTCTGGGCACCCTGTGCCAGCGCCTCAGCACCCTCACAGGGAAGAGCTTCTGCCTAAGAGCTCATCTCAGTCTCCCCTCTGGCAGGTTAAAGCCATTCCCCTTGGCCTGTCCCTACAGGCCCTTGTCCCAAGCCCCTCTCCAGGTTTCCTGCAGCCCCTTTAGGCCCTGGAGCTGCTCTCAGGTCTCCCCTTCAGGAGCCTTCTCTTCTCCAGGCTCACCCAGCCCAGCTCTCTCAGCCTGGCTCCAGAGCAGAGCTGCTCCAGCCCTCGCAGCAGCTCCGTGGCCTCTCTGGGCTTGCTCAAGCAGGTTCATTTGGACAAAAAGGACTTTGCCTTGTCTCATCTGTTGCTTTCCCCAGGCTTGATGAAACTCTTTAGATGCATCCCTGTTTGCTTGCTAAATATACTTTTTTTGTGTGTAATGTTGCCAGCTGCTCAACACTGTAATTCTGAGGGGTTTTGGTTAGTTGTTTTTTTAAATTTATGTAGTGTATAGGAATTTCTTGTCTGGCTCAGGATCTCGCTGGATTTGTATCTGAGGAGGAGTTAGTAAAGGAAGGCAAAAAGAGGATAAAATGACCAGTGCAAGCAACCATGAAATTATCTTGCAGAAAGGATTTGCATGGATAAAAATAGAACTGGTGGTGCATTAATCGAGGCACTTATCAAGAGATGAGATAATGAAGGCTTGGAGAGAGACATCGATGAGTGACTGAGGAGGAAAAGCTGAATCATAGAGATGTTATTCAGGAAAAACTGGAAAGATTTGTCTGTAAAATGGTGATGAAGGCATGAAGAGGGTATGAAGTTGAAAGCATGGATGTTTGTGGTGTTGCTGGCATTTGAATGATGAATTTGTTCACTGCGATGAAGATATGAGTGATATATAAGAC